AGTGAGAGATCCGGAACAGGAGAGTTATATATCGACAATGCACTCTTCTGAAAACAAAATGCGACTACCGCAGCTTGAAGTTCCCACGTTTGATGGCAGCTTTAAGGAAAATCCAACTTTCTGGACAATATTTAACTCGCTGATCCATAGCAACCCGCAACTCAGCAACGTGGACAAGTTCCTTTTCTTGAGGCAGGCATTGAAAGGAACAGCAGCTTCGCTTCTTGGCAATATGCCAGTCATTGGAGAAAAATACGATAAAGCCATACAACTTCTCGATAAACGCTTCAACAAGTTTGGATGCATAGCAGATTTGCTTATCACAGAGTTCGAAAGGCTTCCACGAGCAGAAGAAGATGCCTACAGCTGCAGACAAGCTCTGATTAGTGTGACCGAAAAGCTCACTCACATCGAATGTGCAGGAGTTCCCTTGGAGAACAACCGAATGTGGAAGCGACTAATACTTTCAAAGTTTCCAAACTCGTTGAACGAGAAAGTACTTTGCAAAGAGCAGAATGAAAAAAAAATCATTCACAACAGAGGAGATCTTAGATGTTCTGGAAGATGCAGTCGCTTTGAAGGAAACCCTCGCCTTTACAACATCTGCATTTGGACAGTGCGATGTCGCGGGACGTTCCGATTCCGATCAAGCTATTGATGAGAGGCAGAACTGCGAAGAAGACTCAATCGCATACAATTATAAACATAACCAAGGAAGTACATCTTCGAGAAATTCGAGTGCTCAATGCATCTGCGGAAGTTATCAACATGATGCGACGCGATGCACAACATTCCAAACAGCGGCAGAGCGACTTGATGAAGCCAGGAAACAAAGGATGTGCTTCAGATGCCTTCAAACCGATCACAGGATTAGTGATTGTACAAGCTCACAGTCCTGCTACAACTGTCACGGAAACCACCACACTGCCATATGCATGGGTGACTACTCAGCATTAAGAGGCACCCCAGTCAGGCGATCGCAGCAACGATCTGCTCGCGATCAACATCTTACGAGAGACCCTGAATTTGTGCAAAATTCTGAAGTTCTCCACAAGAGCACGCGAGGAGGAATGCAGCACGTACTGATGACGGCGACTGCACTCGCATACGACTACACATCGATCAGCTATAAGCCCGTGACTGTCTTCTTTGATGGAGGTGCACAAAAGAGCTTCATTAATACAAGGAAGACCCAAGCTCTTGGTTTACCAGTGCTGCAAAACACCACCTTCAAGATTGGCGGCTTCGGAGGATCTACCGCAAATTTCACATCCTGTGAAGTCCCGCTTACTCTAAGAACAACGTCTGCTGGAGTCACTGTCAAAGCTGTGAAGATACATACAAAGTCAGTACTCACTTCCGCGATGAGCACAGCTTGGCTAAGCGCAGAGGATAGAAGGTTGATTCGAAAGAGAAAGATTCGAGTAGCACAACCTGATCTGAAGACACGACGGATTACACCGGACATTCTCATTGGTCAAGATCTCATTGATCAGTTCATCTTGAGAAATCAACCATATACAACTCTTCCGTCCGGTCTCATTCTGACGCCCACTGTTTTCGGTCATGCAGTCTCCGGAAGCAGTCCCATCTATGGAATCAAGATGCAGGACTATTTGCAGAACACTGCGATCACCATCGCCTCCCACAATCATCCAATGAGTAAAGGAAACTCAGTGAAGCAGAAGCCAGCCAAAGACGTCGAACAAACTAAGCGCGCAACTTCCAAACGCCGCGCAAAAAAGCTCAATCGTCCGGATCCGATAAATACGCTCACACAATCTGAGAAGTCATCAACGAAACATGAAAGCTGTCAGCGTAACAACGCATCTCGCAGACAACAATTCGATCGCAAACGACGAAAACCAAAGGCTTATGGACAGTCCGCGAAGAAGAATACTGATGCTCAATTGGGATGTTTCGCTTCAGCGTCGCGCCTGGCCCCGAAGGCCGACCATGGCACGATGGCCGACCACCGTACGATTCTTAGACGAGGACAACAAACCTGTTGTAGAAACCATATGATATATGTAACTTAGCTAAAGTTGTGGAAATGTAATTTGAATTTGTATAACGGTTCATGTAACATTGTAATGTTCTCTTGCTTTCGCACCTTCCGTCGCGCGCCCCACTGTCGTAGATTACCCAAATAATCTACAACCTTTAGCAATGTAGATCTATCTTGTATGTTATATTATTCAATAGCTTGTCGTTGACAAACGCTACTGTTCACTGACCACTTAAGCCGCCAGGTCACCCCTCCACTGTGCTTGATAGTCTACTTGGCGGCGCCTACTTTTATGTAGGCAATCCTTCATGCTGTATGATACTATTGTTTACCAGAAGTGAGCATTCAGGTTATCCACGCCCAAAATAGTGGCATAAAAGGGCCTGAATACTCAGTTCTGGTGTTGGTTCGATTATTACCACTATCGTCAGCGGCTGTTCCGCATATTCACTGTTGATAGTCAGCGGCTGCTCCGCTACTATCGAATAAACAGTTATACAACGTAGTGGTACCAGCTTGGTGTATACCAAATGGGCCACGTTTATAATGTCCGTAATAATTATTTATTCAAGAAAAACCGCGGCTTTTTGAACACGTTTTATCACGTAAAGTTACCGAAAAATTCCAAAAAGCTGATTTTTGAAGCAAATTAAACTTGGTTATGTTGCATAAATAGTGTTAAATAACAAACAAGTTTGAATTCGCAAAAACTCAAAAGCTTTCATGCTTTTGCTGCAAATTGCGCGTTTCCTGACTTTGCTAAAAATCAAGGCCTCCGGAGAAATAATATTTTGAATTCAAAATCAGCGAACTTGTAGCCCGAGAGTTGCTCTATTTGACCCATACTTAGTCTTTTTCGAAACTTTGTAATGAAATTTTTGAAAATCAGCTCAACTTTGAGCGGGTAAAATTGAGAGGTAGAGAATTTTGGCAATTTTCAAAAAAAGCATACAAGATTATGGTATGAAAGTGTATTCATAAGAAAGAGGAGGAAAAGGCATCGAATTCTTGTTAAAACTCACTCAAATCTTCATTGTGCGTGGTTTTACAGTGGTTTGAAAAAACCGAAAAAACTTTCGGGACAACTTAATATATATAATATTTGAAAACGACGAGACTGAGCTTCCAAAACACCTGGTGTTAGAAGGTGTAATTCAGAACAAAAGATGAAGAGATTTACGATCTTTTTGTGAAGGAGCTGAGAATGGTAATGGTAGCTTATCGCTTCCGTATCAAGAGCTTTAGCTAGTCAATAGCAGAAAACCACATACTCTGAGATTTTTTTCTAATGCATAAAGGCAAGGGATATTATCAACTTTGAATCCGCAGGATGCCAAGAAAACATGCACATGAATCTTAATTTACACAAAGAAGCCAAGATCCAAGACCACTGGACAGTTCTGGAAATCTAGTTTGAGAATCTGATATTTTCTCTTCACTTGCTTCTTTTTCAGTTCAAAGATTGATAGTAAATAGACAATTTAAGAAGTTTTGCTTTTTTATCTGATGCTAACTCTGAAGGAAAGCTACAACTGACGTTTAAAGCTTTATAATATAAAACTCCAAGTGCGGAAACACCCCAGTATTGCACTAAAAACTGCTGTGTAAAAATTTTAGGGTGTATGCCAAGAGGTGCGATCTTTATTGCCAGTTGGACACAATTAGCACATTTTCAGTACTTTACGATGTTCTAGGAGCAATTCAAATTGTTAATAAGATGTACCTGATCGTCTGGGTTGCTCAATCTTACTGTTTTGAAACAGATCTTAAAGATTGGTGTTGGGGGGTCAAGAACCCGTAAAAATGCAATTTACAGCGTTTTCGTGAATATTTTAATCAATTTTCAACCAAACGCCGTCAAATTTAGTCGGCTGGTAGCTTCAGATGATAAATAAGGTAAAGCACTTTGTCTGGTATTTTTGAAAGACTTTCTGAGCTCTAAATTGGGGTGTTGAGCTAGTGACCTCTGGTGAAGTCACGACTCTTAACCGTCTCCCAAAATTTTATGAGCAGTCAAGCAATCGCCATCGATCCTGCACTCAAGTGTGTGGGTCATTTCGAATTTTTTTAACTTAATAAAGCCATAGCTGAATGATTTTCTGCCCGTGCTTATGGTAACCCCCACCGGTGGGTGGTTTTGGCTAATAGAATGGGAAGGAAGTTTTAATCCAAAAAATTCAGCTAGTGAGCCAGTTTCTGTGTGAGATAAACCCACATATATCAGCTCATTATTTTTCATCCATCATAGAGTTTCACGTAAGTCAATGTCTGCAAAATTGCAATAAATCTTTTAGCCATGGCGTCATGGAATTTTATGATAGTGAATATGTTTTTGAGCATAGGAAAAAGCAAGAAAAACACTTTTAAATGCCACATATAAACACTATAAAGACTCCCAGAGAACAATGCGTCAGATGCAGACAAAAGAAATGGGCAAAACTCTGTAAAGCGGCAGTTGTTTGGCATTTCTCTTGATCATAAGGTTTTATCTCAAGACCACAAATTGTGTCCGAACTTTTCTTCTCCATCTGTCATATTGGCTTGGCATTGCATGCTCAACCACCCAACCACTTCTCCGTATCAGCGCACAGCGATGATAATGTTCTAAGAAAAGGGACTAACAGAAAACAAAATATGTTTCAAGGTGACTTCAAACGAAAATTGAATTCGAGTTTCGCAGAAATTTTCAGGCCACTTGAAAGTGGAGAAGACATATATGAACCCGTGACGACTACAACTACAACTACTACAACGACGACTACGACAACTACGACTACAACCACCACGACGACAACGCCAACTACGACATCTACAACAACCACTCTGCCACCTACGACAACTACCACAACCACTCTGCCACCTACGACAACTACCACAACCACTCTGCCACCTACGACAACTACCACAACCACTCTGCCACCTACGACAACTATCACAAGCACTCTGCCACTACGACAAGTATCGCAACTACGCTAAAGCCCACGACAACTAGCACATCAACTACATCAACGACGAAACGCCCTTCGTCTACTTCGCCAAGCACTAAAAAATCGACAACACCGTGTCCGACTTATCCTCACACGACATCTAATACCACGACACCTAAAACCACTAAACCGAAGCGCTCGACCACTCCCTGTCCAACATATCCAACAACGAAAAAACCAAAGACCACGACTCCTTGTCCTACACTGCCACCGAGTGCAAGAGCTAAGAGGGAAGCTCGAGCAAATTATACTTCTTTCATAAAGGAAAAAGCGTTGTTCCCCAAGGCTGAATTAGGTATGCTTGATGGCAATTTTTCTGCCTTCACATTACCAGGTTGAAAGATGTAACATGTTTTGCAGCGGGTGTGTTTCAAATCAATTTTTTACAAGAATTTAGAAATGAACCTATTGCATTAGCAATTTTGGCTTTCAGTAACTACTATATCTGTCATTGTGATATATTTCATCGAGAAAGATTTTATAACTCAAAGATCACCAATTTCTCTTGCAATTTTTATTTGGAAAGTTCAAAAGGCTACCTCTGGTTACCTTACCTTGCATTTGGTTTCATAGCACTTGGCAAACATCATGCAAATTTCCAGAAGTTTTTGCTGTTCCGCATGGATTTAAAGCGAAAAGAGTGAGAAGAAAGAATTCCTAGATTCATTGTCGTGCTTTGAAAAAAACGCAATTTTTAGATGAACTCACTTTTTCGAATACGAAAGAATATTTGAAAGTCTAGTAGGAAAGAATTTTTAAGTGTTTAGAATTTTGTAGAAAATTTGCTTCTTTATAGTAAGTTCTCAATGAGGATATGTAAAAAAAAATGTGTACTGATTCTAACACACCCTAAAAGCAGCAACTCGTCTGTGAGTCAGTTTGCTTTTCTTAATCTGTTGCATTGAAATAGTGCCGAAGTACAGATACTATGAGAAATTGTAGAGACTTCTTAATTTCGCCTAGCACAGATATTCGAGTACCTTATATTTTAGATGACAAAGGAATTTGTGCTGACATTTTTATGACGAACACTCTTAGAACTCGCTTCCTTGAATTACCGCAGGTAATTTGTCTTTTTAGAGTGTTCATGCGTCTACTATAACGTTGAGATAACTCTGACCTGCTTTCAGAGCTCTGCTCGCACTTGGGAAACTTAAGACGCGTGCTGGGAAGTATCTATCGCAAGCACGGAATATGTTCAAATTGGTAAGATAATGAGCATTGATCCACAAATTGACAAACCATCGATCTTATAGAGATACGATTGCAAATTAGAAGAAAAAGCAGCGCTTTACGCTAGTCAATGTCCAGAGAGAAGATCTCGCGCAAGTACCAGGGAAGGAGATGGAGAGAATTTCTTGAGAATCAGAGATGATGTCGGCGACTTTGAGAACGCTGTTAACGCTGTACGGAATTCAAAAAGACCAGATGAGATTCTACAAATTCTTAAATTTGCAGACCGTTAGCGTATGGTGGAGAGGTGCGAAAAGATTTGGTGCACTCAATCCTCCAATATTAATAAATTCGCATCATTTCGGTCCTCGCTTGTTCTCCTTCTCCCAAGTAAGACAATCAACAGCTGGAAAAAATTACCTACCAAGCAATTTGCTGGAAGTATATATTTCTTCCATCGTCTTTACAGATGGCTTGGGCGACGACACGGTATATCGGCTGTTCCATCGTCAAATGTTCCTCGTCGTATGTATCATTTTGCAGATACCAACCAAGGTAAATGGGGATGCTTTCTATCTAGAGCGTTTGAAAAACATTCCATAGAAAAGATGATTTTCGCCTTTCGGAGATCTAGAAGTCATTCAAGGCTACTTTCTTTGGTACTCTGTTGTAGAGGATAACAACTATATTTCAACCTCATTTGCGCTCAAAAAGTCTAAAGCATTTACTCTGTCCACTCAAAAGTGAGGTATGAAGCTAACTTTTCCAGCTATTGGAAATTTTCATCTCACAATCTATATATATATATATATATATATATATATATATATATATATATATATATATATATATATATATATTAGGTCATTCCGAAAGTAATTTCGCTTTTTTCAAACGGGCGCCACATCTGATGGAACAAATGTTTCTAAGAGATCTTGGTAGCATCCGATGCAGCATTTCATTCTCTTTCTGATGGTTATGAAATTGTTGCAAAACAGTCAATGAGCTTTCAGGAAATAGCCAAAATCTGCGACCCATGCTTTTTGAGATGGTCAAGTTTCACGATTTTTTAAACCTTTCATATCAATCCTCAGAAGGAGTTCAAGTAACGGTTCGATAGAGTAAACCTTATAAAATACAGTGCTACTTTTTTCCCTTTCTCGTATCTCGCCGTAATTTTTTAAAAGATTTTTTTAGCAGGACCATCGAATTTTGGCAGTCCCACCTCAGCCACAATCGCATCAAACATCATAATTTTTCGGAATTTGAGACTACCAAGATGATACTATGAGTTAGCATTAATTCTACAGAGCAAGTGAGGGTTTACGGGTTCGAAATATCAAATTTCGAGTTTATCGGGTATAGCCTGGGGCTCGCTAAAAATTGAGTTATGGTGATTTCTCCCCGGAAACTAAACGAATCGGAAACAAAAAACACCTGTTAAAAAGAGGAGAAAAAACTGCATCGAATGACACCCGAGCTGCTCAAGGTTTGATGTTCTACTAGGATTTAGCTGTTCAAGTATGGAAATCGGTATCATCACTTAAAATTCTGTTAAAAATGTATGACAAGCTGTGGGAAAAGAGAAAAAAGTTGCACTGTATTCCAAGAGATCTGCTCTATCGAACCATTACTTGAACTTCTTTTGAGAATTGATATGAAAGTTTTAAAAAATTGTGAAACTTGACTATCTCAAAAAGCATAGGTCGCAGATTTTGGCTATTTCCTGAAAGCTCATTGACTGTTTTGCAACAATTTCATAACCATTAGAAAGAGAATGAAATTTTGCATCTACCAAAGTGTTTGCTGCCGTCAAGCAAAGGTATAATCACCAACAGCAGCACGGTTAAACCCATCAAAACAAGTGTGGCAATCTCCGGTGTAACCATAGCCACCTCCTATGCAATGCGCATGACAAGGCCAAAGGCGTGTGGCGATGTGTCACGTATATTTACAAGTGCCTGGTAGGTGCCAGCGGGCAGCACACGGGTGCCGGTTTCCACTACCAAGGCATTGCCGGATAAAAAGATCTCGGGAATAACGGCCGCACCTACGGCTAGTGTGAAAGTGTCGCCAGCGGCTTTATTGCCACCTATGACGCCTTGCGCAGCCACAAACGGCGTGATGCACCCTATGCCAATATTTGCACCCACAAGACCACTCGGCAACTGCGTCGTGGTAAACGGCTTGCTAAGATACCCTTGCACTGTGCCCTCATAGTAGCTGTCGGCATTCACAGCATGTACCCTGCGCAGGCTCGTGCCGATGGTGACATCGTTTGATAGGGGCTCAAGACTTGAAGCAAGTGCTATCTTACCGCTGGCAGCACTGCTTTTGATACGGATGGTTTCAAGCGTGTTTGCATAGCAAGTCGACCAGTGATTTGCAGCATCACCTAGTGTGGCACTGCCATCACCAGGCACAAAAGGCGAATCCATATAGACTTTACTCGCGTCAATGGCTTCAATAGACCCACAGGATATATGGCGCATACTGGCATACTCTAAGCCGGTCATACTGCCGGAGCCGTCTTTGACACCGAGGGTGCAAAGTTCACGCCCATCCGCTTTGAACTCATACAACTCACCATCTACATCCGGGTCGAAATCTGCGTGCGTGACATCGAAAACTAAGCCGAACTCGTTTGACTGCGTAACGCTAACACAAGGGTCGGCATCATACCAAAACTCCAACGCGCCACCCTCGTTGCCGTCAAGCATAAGTTTATGACGCATCCTTTTTTCACCATAAATCACCTGGTCATCACCCTGCGTAGCACCTGCCAGCGCGTGCGTAGTGACAAAGCGATTTACTTCATCTGCCAGCAGGTAGTTGGCAATACTACCGGCCACCGTCACCGTAGACGCGCGATTAAATGCAAAAGACAGCGCCAAATTGACTTTGATTGTGGTGTTGGCATTGTATGGCACAACGATGCCGGTGGCGTCACTGCTGCCGATAAAAGTCACCGGTGTTGAAACACTACCGGCCTCCTCGGTGTGCGCAGTGACTACCACCGTGCGGATGGTAACATCCTGCGTAACGCCACCGGCCAACGACAATGCCACCACGATGCGGGAGTTGCTTTCGCTGGTGGGGTCGGTGCCTACTGATATGACATTCGCATTCACACTGGCACTGCGGAAGCCCTCAAAGTAGTACTCTGCGTTGATACCACTGCTT